TAGTCAGTTCAGTGCCTGTAAAATGCATAGCCCGGTTTTCCCGGAACTGCCATGTTTTCTTTAACTGGAAATTTTTATGTTGTGTTTCCCTTTTGGTGCATGAAAATGTGGTTCTTGCGATACTTAAAAGGGCTTCTCTGCCTTACTTTGATTTTTAAAAATTTGATTTGGGCTCTAGAAGTATTGTTTTACAGGTTTATTCCTTTAGCAGGTATAATTTGAGCAGCCTCCACTGAGCTGGGTTTGACCTCTGTTGTACTGATGTGTTGTGACTAAATAAAAAACAAAAAAAACAAAAAACAAAGAACAAAGTATGCTGCTGTGTGTCTCATCCTTAGCCTTTCCCTCTGTTGGTTGAGAAAAATCTCAGGTTTCTTGGATTCCATTTTGCCTAATGATTGGCTTTCTTCCATTTGCCAGTTTCATTATTCTTGGAATTCTAGGCTGTGTGAATTTGTAATGTCAAATAAGGTGACTTTGTTAGACTGCAGGGCTTAGCTTGGCCTCCCAGGAGGGAACCGAGCTTGTCTGCTGGTCAGTCAGGTGGCCTGGCTCTCAACTGTCTGGCTCTGGAGTCAGTTTGAATTCAGGCTGGGATCTGCACTCTTGGGAGGAACTTGATAAAATCATTTTAATCTGTGTCCATCATTTGATTAGAAGCTGTTGAACACATCTACTGTGTGCTCAGTTCTTTGCTGATAAAATCGGAAATTTCATGTGTCTATTTGTATTTGTTTTCATGGGAAAACAGGACTACAAGGGCCTTGTATCTGAGCTCTCAGAGAAGACTTGGGGCAACGCTGGCTGTGAGGAGCAGTGGCAGGTTATAATTCTGCACCTGCACAGCTCCAGGAGTCTTCCCTTGTTTTGTTTCTAAGGAATTTATTTAACCCTTGGGTTGCCCTGTGCTCCTGAGCTGTGTGTGAGGAAGCAGACATATGCTTTAAGTTAGAACAAAATGGGAGCATGACAGGCAGTAATTGGCCACAGAAGAATGCCTTTCGGTGCCTTAAAACCCTGCCAATGAAGGGGCACTGCTTCTTTACTCACAAGGAGTTTGCCTTGACCCCAAGAGTGGCAGAGAAGAGAGGAGAAGGCAAAACCCACTCTGGCAGATGACAGTAGAGGGTTCCTTTTCTTTGGGCAGCAACTATGCACCTCCTTCCTGATGAGAAAGCAAAGAAAACAAAGAGAAGTTTAGACTTTGAAATTCAGCAGGGGCTGTTGGGTCTCTGGGAAGGATGGGTGAGGGGTATTTGGGTTTCAAATGTGAGATGCCATTCAAGCTTTTGCTCCATGGTGGCTTCAACCACAGGTCTCTCTTGAGATCCGAAGCTCCACTCTCAGCATTGCCTGTGCCATGCACACACTCTCTATGCACACACTCTCTGTCTGGCACAGCCTATGATGGAAAGTGTTATGACGATTCTGCCAAGCATGTTTAAATTTAGCAAACGCTACTCCAGTGGTGTTACAGTATACCGACCAGCAGTGTGCTTCCTTCCATTCAACTTGCTGGTACCTAGGCTTGGATGGCTGCTAATGCAGTTTGCAGAAAGCAGTGAATTGTGAAATATCTAACATGTCATCCTTGTCACAAGGATAATGACTGTAATCATGATCTGGTAGGGAGCACTTTTGGGAAGTGCAAATCTATTCATTTTCTTCTTTCTCTCTCTTCTCCCCTTCCCTCCCCTC